TCCATTGAAAAACCGTAACTTAGGCAAACTGTCCGTTAGGCAATGTGTCTTTAGGCAAACTGTCGTTAGGCTAAATGTCTTTAGACAGATTGACTTGATACGCATTAATATAGACTCTCAAAGTCTAGCTCAGCATCGGACTTAATAGCATCGTAAAATCAGCTCCGAACTGATCTTTCCCCATAGTGAATTCTGGACTAATTCCTCTTCCCTCTTCCTTCACAAAAAACCATTCGAAGGAGTACCAGTTTGATCTTTTCATCCATTGTGCGTTGATCTGATCGTATCGGCAACTGTTCAATCGAATTCCACGATTCTTTGCTTCCAGTCCGTCCGACACTTTTCGGAAGGAAGTGATCTGTTGATGATGGTGATAATGGGTGATTAGCCGGCAAGCCAGAGGGACTGGAAGGCGCAGAAGTGCTCGATGGTTTCGCGATTGACTGCACAAATTTACCGATATTATCCAGAAACGAGCCGAACTGGCCTTGTGGATGCTGGGGAGCAGACGCTGGTTGAGGATTTCCAAACTGAAACCGCGATCGATCATTCGATCAGTAATGATCGCTGTCATATAATGATCGGTGAAGATCGTTCTCTTCGATGATTTCACCAGATGCTTTACTTATGAAAAAAAAAGACCCACAATTGTGAAAGAATTAGCTAAAACTGTCATTCGCTATCCAGTATTCTGTAAACGCATAGCATTAACAATCCATATAACTTCGTTACTTTTGTTATCCGTAACTATTTCATTGAATGTGAGCACGATATGCATACAATATTTTTGCTTATTTACTGTAAATTTCAAAATAATAAATGTCTGGAATCATTCAAAATTTGCCTATTATTAGGTTCCAAGATTCATAATTTTTATTCATTTGAGACGGAGTACTAAGCAAATGATAATTTCTTTCATCAAATATGCATCGATTACCGATTAGATTAAGAACTAACATTCAGTAAACTGCCCAAATCGAGTCCTTTTCCTTCCTGAAACGATAGTCCCGAATCAACGCCAACCCTTTCACCTCCGATCAACGCACCTTGATTCGCTGAAAGTTCACAGAAATAATGGCGATTTCCTTCTCATTATCCTGAATCAGCCTAATTAAGGCTATGTTCAGCCATGAAATGTGACCGCAATTAATTATGAGATATGTGATAATGTCAATCTTTGCAGATGAGATATTTTTGTCGCGTAGTTGACTAGGCATGTTGAAGATGTGTTCAGTTTTACATTTAACGAATATAATCTGATCTAATAATAAGATCATAATGCTTACGAACTGAATCATTAATGCCGTTATGAAAAGATAAGCAAAGTCTTTGAAAAATTTTCAGCTTACATGTCAGTCCAAATTTCCCTTTTCCAGTGGTCACCTTCAAGCCACGATCGCCACCAAATCCGAAAATGTTCGCCATTTGACCGACACCAATCTCGAGATCTCCAGTGGGATTTTGACCCAACGAGAATGAACCCAGATTGACCTGACACAGGACTGAAATTTGTTTTTCATAAACGTTTTGATATCGTTTTTAATTTTTTCAAATCCTTTTTAAAGTTATTTAATCCGTTTAGTCCCTTTTTCTAAATGTCTCTCTGAAAAACAGAATGTAGGATCACTTCATTTAGCCAGTTCAATTGGTCAATGCAACTTAAAACATTTCACTTCAAACAAACCTTGAATTGCTTGACCATAAAAAACACTTGCCACCAGAATCCAATTCATTGTAATGTTACAATCCAATTGAGAAATAAATTCTCTAAAAGTGTCTGAAAAAACTTTTAAACCAACGAAAATTTGAAGCGGAAACTATAACATTTATGAATTAATACTCCTGAAATATGACAGAGCTGATTCAATACCATTGCATGCATAAAAGCAGAGAGCTCATTATATAATGGAATAAATAATCAAACTGCGATTCGATGTGTTATAATGACAACTGATAATAGTAACAATGGTCACAGCGATGACCTCGAATTGATTGCGGTCATTGTATTATTAATATTGTGTTCAGCTGATCTATTTGTTATCGTATTATTAAGTTTGATTCATTAATCAGTGTTAAAAGAACAGATTGATCACAATTGATCACAATCATAATCATGCGTAATCTTTTATTGTGATTACATGAGAATTGCGTAAGCGAACTAATTTTTCACTGCTTAAATGGGCATGCAGATCGCATTGTAAAGCATTTTATTTACAAATATTCAAAATAATTAACATCAGCAGAGCAACGATATCGACTCAACGTGAACTTATTTACACAATAATTACGAGTAAGGTAAGTGAACTCTGATTATAAGATAAACGTTTGTGATATTTGATAAAATGGAACTTAAATGTTGAATTCTATTCAATATTCAAACTTTGAATTGTAACATGTACATGAGAATATCCATGTGTGAGCAATATGCATAATTGAGTGTAAAATTAGAGATTTTTTTGAGGAGAATTCTTCAGAAGACAACAAAATCATCTGATGAAATAATATTTTTAACCGAATGAAATTATATTTTGGATGTTTATATAATATTCTAGTATATGTATACATACAATATTAATGAAATAATATTTTGATGGTAATTGGATGATAATATTTGACATGTGGATGATAATATTTAAATCGGAAAGAGTTCTAAAAACGAGCAAAACTAATCGCAAAGCTCAGAGCGTTTAAAAGAAGAAAGGATGCTGGTGAGCGTTTGGTTGGAGTGCATCAAAGAGGGATATAAACCGATTGTATAAAAGAAGAATGGTGAAGTATGAAGCATCAGAACCAGATTTTTTGAGGTTTTATTGCGAACATTGTTGTGAGATCGTTTTCGAATGAAACNAACAGGTTTTCGAGTGTCTCAATTGCATGACAACCGCATTATTATTTTTATGTTTATACACTCTAATTTCACGTAATCCATGCAGAGATATTTATGAATTACTCATAGACGTGTACTTCACTGCATTTACGTTCAACTGAAAGCAGTTTCGCAATGAATCATCATTTTAAACTGAATTCACTTATAATCTCTCTATGAGACGGGAAGAACATAGGAATGAAAAACAACGATATTTTCATTTCGGAATGATCAATTTTTCTTCCAAAGACTATCCACATTCAGACTAGCTGCAGTAGAAATTGTCATATGCATTGGATTAGAAGAAATTCGCTGAGCCTAATCCTCAGGGCCGAGATCATCCATGTATCGATCAGTCATCGATAGGCTCGTCGATTTCCACCAAACCTGGGAGTGGTGGNCAGAAGTATTCTGTCTACCTTTTGCTTTACCTGTATCGCCATCGTTAACATCTGGTCGTCTGGACTCAGTCGATGCTGAGCCACTACGTTCTGGGGCTTTACCTTCAGTAGTCATTCGACCATTGTTCTTCGATAAAAATTCCGTGAAATCCGGATAGCTGTCGATGTTCTCAGCTGTTCCATAGTCCTGAATCATTACCACATGCTATATTTAGGCAGAACATGTAGTATAATGCAATGCAATCGTAAGTTATATGTATGTTGCACTTTCTAAAAATCTGACAATGAGTACTTTACCTTTATTACAACCATGCAGAAGTGTACAGTACCATAAAGTACTGATTGGTCACTTAAAGACTTTGAATTAGTCAATTGAAGGGCATTTTCAAATGAATTTATCTATGAATGTTGTCTTTCCAGAACTACCGTCTTATTTTTAGCATAGAACCCTAATTATTTCTCACTTAAAACACAAAAACTGACGGAATACTTTGCCCTTTATTCATGACTCTTTCCTCACGAAATGTAACAACGTTCCACCATGAACCATTTTCTAATTGTACTTATATCATAAACTGAATAGGAAGCGAATTCTCTCAAAAAGTCAATCATAGAACAGGCTGCTATAAATGAAATTGTGCATGAAATTAAAGGAAATTCTCAATAAAACCGGCTTTCGGAATTTGTAACAAGAAAAGAATTCTTCATTTTCTTATAATTAGGCTAGAAAAAACTCATACAATCGCAGTCAAAATTTCTGTAGATTTCGCTTTTCAATAGGTTGCTATTCAATTTCAATTGTTTTTTCGAATTCTCTTCAGTGAGTTGAAAATGCAGAAAAGAAACTGGTACATTACGTAAGAATGATGAATTTTAAAAAAAAGTTAATTTCATAGGAATAGACGTTTTCATGAAAACGAGTGATATAATGTGGTAGGAAATATCATTTAGTCACATTTGAATTGATTAGGTGATAAAATTATGGTGCCCGGTCAATATGCCTAAAGACTGTTTGCTTAAAGACATACTGCCTAACAGACAATTTGCCTAACTTACGGTTTTTTAATGGATATTTCGCCTAACAGGGAAACTGTTCCTTAGGCAAACTGTCTTTAAGCAAAATGTCTTTAGGCAGATTGACCGGTCACGAAAATTATGGATCATAAACCCCCAAACCTCATCAGGAATTACGCCCAAAAATGACACTGAACCATCTTCGTTTCGGTCGTTATTCTCAGCCACCTGAATGCCTCGATCAGGTAGAAGTGTTGCAAAATTGTTGGTCAAGCCAGAACCTCGCTCAGCTGCAGGCCTCGTCTCTGGTCTCAGCATCATTGATATAGGAGGAGACGGCGGTCCAGTTTCAGGCTGGAAGTCAGGAAACTGAATGGGCGCAGGGATGGACGGTGAGATGGGAATAGGAGTTTCTTCGACAGGTGCAGCACCAGGCGGGGGTCGGGTTAGCAGTAGGGGAGGTGCAGACGGGGTTAACGGGCTTATTTTTGAGTCGTACGGTTTGGGGGGTTGCAGGCCTGGAAACATAGCAACCAGATTGCGGATAAACTGACCGAAAGGGTCACCTCCACTGCCGAGAGGCATCTGAAATTCAAGAATAAAACATTAATCCAAGTGATCTGAAGCTTAGTTGAATCCATTCAGCGTATTCTTTGTTCAGTGACATTCTCGAATTCTATCAAAAACAGCCGTTGATGACTTCAACTATGCCGCCATAAAATTTGCTTGCAGTAGATCACTTACCATGGGAGGTAACGTCGGCAGTTTGAATGGCATTAACTGAGGTAAACCAGGTAACTGCATCTGTGGAAGACCAGGAAACATATTATTCATTTGCCCACTGACTGGAATTATGAAATTACAGTCATACTTCAAGTTAGTGTAAATTCAATTGAATCAATGGCAAATATCATAACTATTGATAATGATAGTATCTTAAAGTAATTGATGAAAATGGAATATTGAATGATTGAACAATTTATTGAT